GGTGAGCCCAGCGTCCTCCTACGCCGCCATCTTCCCTCTCCTCGCAAATTTGGTCCCCCACTTGTTTATTTTTGCTTTTGTTGCCTTAGCTTTTGTCATGTGATTTAAATCATCATCTTCAAGACCTATGTCAAGGAACTTACTACCTGTTTTCTTCTAAGACTTTTTGTGGTTTCAAGTGTTCTGTTTAAGTTTTGATCATTTTGAGTTAATTTTTGTGTACTGTGTAAGGTAGTGGTCCAGTTTCATTCTTTTGCATGTAGCTGTCCAATTTTCCAAACCATTTATTGAAGAGACTGTCCTTTCCTCATTTTGTGTTCTTGGTTCCTTCATGGTTAACTAATTGACCACATATGCATGGATTTATTTCTGGGCTCTCTATTGTGTTCCATTCATCTGTGTTTCTGTTTTTTATGCCAATACCACACTGTTTCATTACTATAGCTTTGTAATACTGTTTGAAATAAGGGAGTGTAATTTCTGTCTGTAACTTGCTTTGGCTATCTGGGGTCTTCAGTGGTTCCACACAAATTTTAAGACTGTTCCTTTTTTGTTAGGAGTGTTTGTTCCATTTGAAAAATGTCATGGGAATTTTGACAGGGATTGCATTGAATCTGTTTATTGCTTAGGGTAGTATGGATATTTTAAAAATATTAGTTTTTCCAAACAATGAGCATGAAATATTTTTCCATTTATTTGTGGCTTCTTCAATTTCTTTCATTGGTGTCTTACAGTTTTTAATATATAGATCTTTTAGCTCCTTGATTAAATTTATTTCTAGGTATTGGAGAGAGAGAGAGAGAGAGAGAGCACACAAGTGGGGGAGAGGAGCAGAGGGAGACAGACAGAGAGAGAATATCTTAAGCAGGCTTTACGCTCAGTGCAGAACTCCATGTGGGGCTTGATCCCATGACGCTGGGATCATGACCTCAGCCAAAATCTAGAGTTGGATGCTCAAATGACTGAGCCACCTAGGAGCCACTGTTGTGTTCTTTTTGATGAAATTCTGAATGAGGTTGTTTTCTTTATTTCTCTTTCTGATAGTTCATTATTAGTGTATAGCAATACAACAGAGTTTTATGTATTAATTTTTGTGTCTTGCCACTTTACTGAATTTGTTTAGTATTCCTAACACTTTTTTGTTGGAGTATTTAGGGTTTTCTATACCTAATATCATGTCCTCTAGATATAGTGACCATTTAACTTCTTTTTTTCCAATTTGGATGTCTTTTGTTTTCTTGTCTAATTGCTCTGGTTAGGACTTCTAATATGTTGAATAAAAGTGATATGTGTCTTGAGAACCAGAACAGGGCAGGGTTACCTAGTGAGCAAAAGGTGTGATGGGACAAAACAGAAGAATTAATGTTGATTTCAACACATCATTGTCTTGGTACTGATCTTAGAGGAGGAACTTTCAGCTTTGCACTGTTGGTATATTATGATAGCTGTGTGACTTTGTCAGGTATGGCTTTTATGTTGAGATATGTTCCCTCTATACCCACTTTGTTGAAAGTTTTTACCATAAATGGATGTTGAACTTTCTCAAATGCTTTTTCTGCATCTGTTGAACTGATTATATGATTTTAATGTTTTATTTTGTTACTGTACTACATCACATTGACTGATTTGTGGATGTTGAACATCCCTTGCATCCCTGGAATATATCCCACTTGATCATGGTATACAGACACTATTTCTTAAATGCATCCTGAGAATTTTTTTTTATGGTTTTATACTTTTGGATCAAGCAAAAAAAAAAACAACATTTTTCCCCCCTGCAATATAAATAGGTCCAATTTTTCTTTTGTACAATTGACTTCTTTAACCTGTGTTTGGGAATTTTATTTACTGCTACTAAATTTCATTCTGTGTGTGTATTTTTTTTCATTTTTTAATGTTTATTTATTTTTGAGAAAGAGACAGAGACAGAGACAGATCATGAATGGGGAGGGGCAACAAGAGCGGGAGACACAAAATCTGAAACAGGCTCTACGCTGTGAACTGTCAGCACAGAGTCGACATGGGGCTCAAAGCCACAAACTGTGAGATCATGACCTGAGCCAAAGTCGGATGCTTAACTGACTGAGCCACCCAGGTGCCCCTTTTTTGTGTGTTTATATGATAGTATTCTAGCATTTAGTTTGCATATTTACATATCATTTAGGATAGCTTATATTACAAGTAACAGAACACCAGATTGACCATTGTTTGAACAATAAAAATATTTGATTATCCCACATAAAGTGAAGTCTGTAGGTACCAGTAGTTCTACAATTGATTCAATAACTCAGTGATGTCTTCAGACATGCAGGCCTTTCCTATCTTATTTTGTGTCTTCCTTATTATGCTGGTGATATCTCACCTCAAGGTAGGTTGCAAAAGGGCTGCCAGAGTTTTAGGCATCATGCCCTTCTATTACCTTTTGTTCTAAGTGGGAAGAAAAAGAATACAGGCCAAAACAAGAGTTTTTTGTATTTTGTATTTAGTTTTTTGGCTTTATTATTTTGTTTCTTTCATGTGACTCTCTGTTTTTTCAGGAAGCAAAATCTTTCCTGATTCCCTCTCCCCTGCCACCAGGATATTTCTACTTATGCCTCATTTCCTGGAACTAGGTCACATGCTTGCCCCACTATACCAGCCTGTGGTGAAGGGGAGTAGTAGGGTGGCCTTTCTGGCTTAGACCAATCCTGATTCATTTTTGAGGGATAAGCAGAGTATATAAACATGTACCTTGAGATTTAGTCTAAACAAACCCTTGTTGCATGGTGAATTCGTATGAAAATATTCAGCTAGTTTTTGTTTTGTTTAGTCTAACATTAAACTGTCACAAGTACCAAATAAGACAAATTGAAAATAAGGAGTACTTACATCTAGTTATATATTTAAATGGATATTATACCTACAAAAATTTGTTTTGCCATGAGTAGGAAACATTTAATGATATAAAGCACCTTTTTCTATAGAACTCAGGGCACATCACGTTGAGTATGTCATTTGGTCTCCAACAGATCTTTTTAGGAAGAATAAGCTAAGAATAAGATGCAGATATACCAAGTGCTGTGTTTAAGGTTATGCAGCCAATCACTTAGTTCTTAATTCTCTGATGTAACTCATGAAAATAAAAAATGGGTGACAGAAGTTTAATGTTAGTCCAGAAAGAATAAAGATTTGGGGTTTTGTTATTTATAACATAGTATTTATGATACAGTCATCAGTTAATTTTTCTTTTTTTATTATTTTTTAATATTAATTTATTATTTATTATTCATTTATTATTTTTTTAATGTTCATTTACTTTTGAGAGAGAGAGAGAGAGACCTAGTGTGAGTGGGACAGGGGCAGAGAGAGAGGGAGACACAGAATCTGAAGCAGGCTTCAGGCTATGAGCTGTCCACCCAGAGCCCGACGTGGGCTTGAACTTACAAACTGTGAGATCATGACCTGAGCCAAAGTCGGATGCTTAACCGACTGAGCCACCCAGGTGTCCCTAATTTTTCTTAAAGACAACAATGAAAAGTAGTACACTAAAGGATTATTCTAGGGATTTCATGCTGGCATGTTTTTTCAAACTTAACTAATAAAATATCATTCATAAACTCATGCTAAAAACACAAAATAGTCTAAGACTGAAGTGCCCAAAAGCTAAAGCAAATGCACATTAATATTTTCAGATTGTTCGGCATGATAGGACAATGGAACAAATAGTTTTTCCTGTCCCCAATATATGTGAATACCTTACGCGAGAATCCAAGAGCCGTGTGTTCAACACAACTGAAAGGGATGAACAAGGAAGTAAAGTGAATGACTTTTTCCAGCAAACTGAAGATCTCTACAATGAAATGAAGTGGCAGAAGAAAATCAGGAGTAAGTACAATAAACTAAAATGGTTAGTTTTGAGCATAATGGTAGATAAATTGGTACTTTAGGATACATAACAGGATTCATTTAAATTTTTTTTTACAACTTATTTATTTATTCTGAGCGAGAGTGTGAGTAGAGCAGGGACAGAGAGAGAGGTAGAGAGAGAATCCCAAGTAGGCTTTATGCTGTTAGTGCAGAGTCTGACGCAGGGCTTGATCTCGCAAACCATGAGATCATGACCTGAGTGCAAACCAAGACTTGGACGCTTAACTGACTGAGCCACCCAGGCATCCCTAAATTGGCTTTTAATTTCTTGCCATTTGATGGTACTCAAATCACTTATAGGCTTAAGAATATAATCTCAGTCCACACCTGAGTGAGAGCTGAGACACCTGTGGCTTAACAGAAACAGAAGACTACATTAGATCATCTTTTAGTGCTGATCCTGTAGTTTTATAAATATTATGAAATGCAAGCTTGCAGCTGTATGTTTCAACTGCTGAACAGCTGCAAGTCTGCTGTCCTTGAATGGGCTCTGACTGGCCTTAACGATCAGTGAATGGGATGGAGAGACATCGGCACCAGCATGCTTGTCCTCTCTTATCTTAAGATCCTATGAGTGAGTAGATTTTTTAATGTTTTCTTGAAAGTCATTCTTTCTTTCAAAATATCTTTACCTTGCCAAGTCAGACTAAAAATTCTGTGACACTTGTATTAAAATAAAGCAATGTTATAATTTTACAGTTAAAAATTAATATAATGCAGGAGCGCCTGGGTAGCTCAGTCACTTGAGCATTGTTCTTGATTTCAGCCTACGTCATAATCTCATAGTTGTGAAACTGTAACTCGTGTTGGGCTCCACACTAAGTGTGGAGCCTGCTTGAGATTCTCTTTCTCTGCCTCGCCTCTGCCCCTCCCCTCCCCCCAAATTAATATAATACAGTTTCCATTACTTACATCACAGCAGTCAACTCTATATGGACATATTGAGTTTTAAAATTTTTAAATTCTTTTTTTAAAGTTTATTTATTTGGGGGGTAGGGTCAGAGTGAGAGGGGGCAGAAGATCTGAAGTGGGTTCTGTGCTGACAGCAGAGAACCTGATGTGGGACTTGAAGTCATGAACCTTGAGAACCATGAGAACCTGAGCTGAAGTTGGACACTTAACCAACTGAGCCACCGAGGCACATCTAAAATTTAAAAATTTTAAAGTTTATAATACACTTTAGTTTGCTTCCCCAGATAAGGGATATCATGAGTTTTAAACAAAAATTAGTAGGGGGAAACTCTAGATTAGGTCTTTCCTATCCTTGGGGGATGTTTTCCAGACCAGCAGGCATATGTTCTCAATACCTCCATTCAACAGTGTTTCATCATTCCAGTTTCCTAGGAACTTTACTGAGTGTGGTTTATGGATTTGAGTGGAGCTTGTGACATACCATCTTTGGCTATAAGATTATGGTATGCACTGTTAGGCTTTCTTATCAGAATATTTGAAAAATAAAGAAATGACTCTCCCTTAGCATTTTGCCATATAGAACCTTATGGAATTCAGAGAAAATTTAGGGTGTCTAGAACACATACATGAAAATTCAACAATTTTATTTGGGACATTGGAAAAGCACACATTTTATCCCTGACTAAACTAAGTTGAATAATGAACTAGTGCTTGTGGGGTTTGTTCTTTTTTGGATAAATATTTTATCAGTTATTAAAAAACAAATCTGAAAATGAATTTCAATGTACATCTTACATTTAAAGTTTGGAAGCAACTTATGAGGTTATAGATAGAAATGATTCATTGGATATACTACAAATGTATGTATCAACATCTTCTATTTTGTCTTAATGTTCAACTTTTCATTTTTTTAAGTTTATTTATTTTGAGGAGGGGAGAGCATGTGAGGGAGGAAAGGCAGAGAGAGAGGGAGAGAGAGAATCCCAAACAGGCTCCATGCTGCCAGCACAGAGCCCAGTGTGGGGCTCGATCTCAAGAACCACGAGATCATGACTTGAACCAAAGTCAAGAGTTGGGCACTTAACCAACTGAGTCATCTGGGTACCCCAATATTCTGCTTTTTAAAATGAAGACTCCTAATAAAAATGATGGAGATGCAGATATTTACAATTTAAGATATGTCAGTCAACTAAATGCCATAGCAAATCATAGCCTGTTTCAGTTTAGTGCAGTTTATAAGTGAGCAGCAGATCCCAGATTGGAATTCACAGAACATAATTTGAAAAGTTTATAATTTCTCCTTGAAACTTGATGTTCCTTTCTCCCTCATGTAACTCCAATATTTTAGATGTGATGTTTAGATAGTAAGAGTTAGAGAATGGACAAGCTCTGAAAAAGTCATGTGGTCAAATTTGTATGCATTTCATATTTGTTCAGTTATTTAGGAGATGTAGATTTAGTAGATGCACCTACTAATTCATTTCTGAAGATAAATACAGAATCTCATTTCTGAAAATATTCAGTAAAGCCTCTCCCACTTATTAGTACTTCCTATTGTATCTTTCATGTTTTTCTGCCGTTAAAAACCCAAGTTTTTAGGAAGTGTTAAGGTTTAAAACTTAGATATTGTAAGGGGTGCCTGAGTGGTTCTGTTGGTTAAGCATGCAACTGTTGATTTCAGCTCAGGTCATGATGTCACAGTTCATGGGATTGATCCCACATTCATGGGATTCTCTCTTTCCCTCTCTCTTTGCCCTTCCCCCCAATCGTTCTCTCTTTCTCTCTCTCTCTCTCTTTCTCGCTCTCTCTCAAAAATAAATAAAACTTAGATATTATAAATCATGAGTTCCCAGTAAGCAGTATTATACCATGCTATTAAGGTTCAGAATTTCAGGTAACTTTGGGTCATAGGAATATTCATCAGACATAAGTCTGGTTTGAGCTTTTTTTTTTTCCTTTTCCTTTTTCTTTTTTTTTCTTTTCTTTTCTTTTCTTTTCTTTTCTTTTCTTTTCTTTTCTTTTCTCTTCTTTTCTTTTCTTCTTCTTCTTCTTCTCTTCTTCTTCTTCTTCTTCTTCTTCTTCTTCTTCTTCTTCTTTTGACTTAAGGCATGGGAGTGGGACCAATTAATCAATATTACTGACTTACAAAGTGATACATACTGTTCTGTTAAGGGGGGCCCCAGGCATCCACTAACTGTCTTTCCCCTAAACTGCTTTAGGGATGTGTCAGAGGGAATTATTACAGAATCACCTTTTCTGACCATGTTTAGCAATTGCAAAATTACCCACACCTTTATAATGGCTTGGGTATAAATTGGCTGAAGAATAAAGAAGGAATCAAATAGAAAACTCCCTTATGGTACTGATTATAAACTTTCTTAAATAAGTCATTTTTGATGTTTATTTAAATGTGCTTTTATACTACTTTACAAAAACACAATTTAGTAAAATGTTGTTTCAGTAGGGTTCTTGTGTTGAGATCAAAATTAATTCTTCCGTTTTGTCCCATCACACTTTTTGCTCACTAGGTAACCCTGCCCTGTTCTGGTTCTCAAGGCACATATCCCTGTGGGGGAGCATTTCCTTCAACTTGGCTGTGTTCATCAATTTAGCTGTTGCTCTCTTCTACCCATTTGGGGATGATGGAGATGAAGGCAAGTGCTTGTCTTTCTTTAAATGATAAATATTTTAAAGTTCTAAAAATACTACTCTTAAAAATACATCCCTTAACTATTTAGAGCTTCAAAATAATAATAAGTTAATTCTTGTTACATAAACTTTTCTGTATTCATTGGAAGTAGACAATGGTGGTAAGTAGATTAGGCAGAAAACAATGGTCAATAGAAATGTTAGTTTTCCAAAACCTCATATACAGAAGAGCTATTAGAGGTATGCTAGACTGGCAAACAAAGCAATGAAAAAGAATTATTATTTCTACCTGATTAGTCTTACTGAAAGCATTTTTAATATGGTATCATCTTAATTATATAAATATATGGGAAAATGAGAGGTTTCTGCAAAAATATCCATTATGATTACCTTAAATAGTGGAATTTGTAATTTGCCCTCTTCATTGCTTTTTGTTTTGTTTTAGTTTTCGATAGTGAACACACATGGACTCTGAAAAAAAATTTTTTTAATGTACAGCATAGAGCAGAATATGATCATAGAGAATATCTCACATTCTCAGATTAGAAGCTAATTCTTGTTTCCAATCTAGGACTTGTCTACATGATGACTGACTGAAATTAATATTATTTAACTAACAATAAATGAATTTTTACAAAAGCAAAGATAAGAGATATCTCATTTTACATGAAATGGGAAATAGAAGTGGAATATGCTGAAGGGTGGGACTGTGGAAAGTAAGTTTTGTTTAAGTCTGGCAAAGCGCATGGGAAAATATGTTGCAGGCTTTGGATACATTCGGTAAATAGCTCTGAAATGTGTGTGGAGAGAATGGATTGAAGGAAAAGATGAGAAACATTAACAAACAAGAACCACAAAGTGCTTTTATATTTCACCTGTTCATAGAATTATTGTAAGAATTGAATGAGATGCTATATAGGTAAAGCATTTGGAACAGTACCTGGCAAGCATTCCATGAAGCTTAGTTGTTGTTGATGTCACTGTTGTTAAATATTAGTACAACAAAGGGAAGCCCAGTGAAAATAATAGTACAATGAGAGCAACAGGTATTTAAGCCGATTTCAGATGAACTGAAAGTGAGCATGAAGGGAAATGAGGATCCAGGACTAATTTGCTATTTCAAAGCTCTCTTACAGTTAATAGACATCAAAATCCAAACCTTTAGGTATAATTTGAATGCCTTTTAAAAAAGTTTGATATTTTAGAAGGCATGCTTGTACTGAAAGAAGAATACTCAACAGTGGAGCAGATGGGTGAGGAGTGAAATAGAAAACATAGCAAATATTTGGCCATCCGTTGTGGGAAGTTGCAAATACACCAGGAAGTGGAAACAGCTTTCTTTTCACTGTTTAGTCTTATTTAGTGATGACAGCCCTCTTGGCAGAGAAGAATGTAACTCTTGTAAGAAGAGAAGTCCAGCATGAAATGATAAATTGGTATCATCTGCACACAGAACGTTGAGAGTAGGTTGTAGACTCTCAGTTAATAGAAGCATAAGGTCTTAGATATGGAAGCAATTCTGGAAATCCTCTGATATCAAGTCCTCATTTGACAGATAAAGAGATGGAATCCCAGAGAGGCTAAAAAATGGTAGATCTTAGTAGAAAGTTAACTCCTTTGTTTCCAATCCAGGACTTTTCTACATAGATAATTGGGTTGGGAGCATATAGATAACAGGAAGATGACAAATCTTCATATAGAAGATTATTTTTTCTGAGTTCCATTCTATGGTATCCCTTACTTGACCACTAGAGCCAATGTATATAGCCTCTGCTGCCACCTATTGTACATGAAATATAATGGTAATGGGCAATGCCACACCTCTAGACATCTATTTTTTACTCATTCAGGAGAAAGTAAAATATCTGATACATTTTTGATACTTGCCTAGTAACAGTTATAGCAGTAATATTTATATAATAATAATAGCAGCTGATGTTGTTTACTATTTAGCTTTGGTCAAGCAGAATGCTAAACACTTCACATACATAATTTCATTGACTCTTCCTGACAATCCTATAAAGCAAGCACTTCATCTTTATGGATGAAGATCTGAGGCTTAAGAAGATTTGCCCAATAATTCAGGAGAGGAGTCCATAAATATGTATTTTTTAACAAGCTCCCAAGGTATTGCTGATGCAGCTGGTCATTGAGCAAGCGCTTGAAACCACACGTATAGTACCGTTTGGAGTAAGGCTTCAGCGTCAGAAAGAAATAGGACTAACAAAAACACGACTGAAAAACATGGTGCCTCATCATCATGTGAAGATGCAGATTTTACTCTTCCAAAAGGACTGGGTAATAGTTAATACTAGTAACCAAGGTGGAGGCTCAATCTTAGGTGTCCGTGTCGAGTGAGGGGCACTGATGCTAAGAGAGAAGAGAAGGCATGAGCTGCCATTTTGGCAATATGGAATCCGAGGTCATGTTTGGCTAACCTAATTACAGTTCTGGATGAGTTACTTAATTATAATTCTATGAATAAAGTTAAAATTTTGGTCAGGATTAGCTCAGTCTTTAACCTTCAGTTGTATACTATGAGTAGCTAGGAAGACTGAGAAAACAAAGTCAAAACTGAGAAGCGTACTTGGACATCAGAACTGTCTGGAGAAGGATAATCCTGTGCTGGACATGCAAGTTCTCTAATGCTGGATTTTGTCAGACATAGTTTGGGTGACTACTTGCCAAGAGCACTTGGAGGTGATTTAAAGGTGGATTAGTTAAGCATTAACATTCCTTCCACAAAGTACATGAAAATGATGGAGACATGTCAAAGAACACAAGATCCAACTTGCAAAGCTTCCCAGTGACCACATCTGCAGAAATTTTGAGGAAAAAAAATATATTGACAATAATACATAATAACCCATGGAATAAAATGAGAATCTAGGAGTCTATATGGATCATGAGAAAAGAAAGCTCCTCCTTACAATAGTATTCCAATTAATAAAAGTAGAAGGAGGGACACCTGGGTGGCTCAGTCGGTTAAGCTTCCGACTCTTGATTTTGACTCAGGTCATGATCTCGTGGTTTGTGAGTTCAAGCGCTGTGTTGGGTTCTGTGATGACAGTGCGGAGCCTGCTTGGAAATCTCTCTCCCTCTCTCTCTGTCCCCACCCCATTTTTGCTTTGTTCTCTGTCTTTCAAAATAAACTTTAAAAAAAA